GATCACCCGAAGGCCCCACGCCTCACCATCGGAAATCGCCGAGCGTTTACGAACCTCTTGCCGTTCGTACGATTCTCAGGTGCTCCGTGTCGCGTAGCGAACAGACAGCGAATGCGATTCGAGTATCGCGCACTCACCCTTCCGCCAAATAGACAGCCACCCCTCGTTTTCTCGCCATCGAAAACGATATTTATCATTCATGGTTCGATTCAGTTAACAAATTATCGATTCAATTTTTAAATTGCTCGTCGTATGGTTAAAAGTGTACAGAAACTTGAAATTTACAGTTTCTCCGTTCCCTCAAATTTGTCTTTGTTCAAAATCAATGTTATATTTTAACTAAAAAGATAGTAGTAGAGATAAGTGACTAAAATTATCATAGGTATTTTTAGATAATTATGAAAGTTATTATAAACGTTTTCAAATAGGTAGGATGTAGAGCACGTGGTAGGAATTGTTGGACTAAATTCATGAAATTTTCCGAATAAAATAAAATTATACCAGTACTAGATAGAATGACTTGCTGACTGCCAATTTGATGATTTTTCAATAATAATCAGACGATAATCCGATAATTTAATGATATCATAGATCTATAATTTATATAAAAACATAGACGTTTTGGATTTGTACAAAACATGTTTTTATGATTTTATTTACATTATAATTATATCATCCGAACGTGTGAAAATATAACGTAGATGTACAAATCGGCAAATACTTTTCAAACTTCCCTGGAAGACTGTCAACGGCGTGAAACTTTTCACACTCCTCGTTCTACGAAGGGCATAGTTCATTAAATTAATACGATAAGAAGTAAAATAACACCGATCTCTTCACTCGGTTTGTTTCAGCGTTAGTATGCATATATTAAGATATTATACATCGTTCTTATTATAAATACATATACCTTATACAACGTTACATTCAACCAAATCAAACAGACGTGATTGGTATTTCATATCATCTTTCCCTTTGATGAATTTATTTTATATTAAAAGGTTTTATTTTATCCTGTTCTTTCTTTTCATTTTTTACAAAAGATCCTAATGACGATAAGAGCGATTCGAATTGTATTTCGCCGTTCTGTGCAGAATTATGAGAAGCGTGGAGCGCCTAAGCGCCAGGAGATTTTTTAACAGGGGATGAGTAAGACGATAAGTATGGAGAATGAACATGTTCCTCGTTGACGCGAAGTTCACCGAAGGATGAATACCGCATAATGGTTGCCGCGTTGCCACTTCATTCGCTGTCTTTCTCGCACAATCTACGAAGGAACGCTAGAAACAAAACAATCGATATTAACATCTTATTCTAAAGAAAATACGGATCTGGTGTACCGCTATGTCAATCAAACTTGGTGCCGAATACACATATATGAGCAATTTAAAATATACAATAAATATTAGAATAATTTCATGTGCAAAATCATGATGCCACAGAAAATGCTATATCGCATTTTGTAATTTCTGTGTCAATTTTCCAAGCTCGAAATGTCCTGAGGGCACGTAAAATTTCCCGGATATATTGCGATGATTTATATATACACTTGTGAATCTCTCATTGTTCATTAATATTAATAGAAAGCTTCTGTAACTTAAATAACAAATGAACGCCTTCATTGATAGAAGTAGCGTAGATAATTAATAACAGAGTTAATGTTGTCGAAACGAAACGGCATGATTGAAACAGTGCTTTCTTTTGATGCACAGAAATCCGTGACACAAATAAATATCAAACGTCTAGATCGTTCTATGTACATCTAATTTGCCTAAAATGTACATCTATCTGTGCATATGTAATGTTTTAGACACATAAGATAGTACAAAATAGTATGACAAATTACAGTACGATAGTCAAATATAGTTTGAAACCGTCTTCTTGTAATCGACGAGAACTCGAGGAAACGATTAAGGTTGAGCATCGTTTTCTGAAATCCACGCCAACGACACTACCGAGTGTCTTGAGTCACGGATCTCGTGCATGAATACATCTTAAGCTTTTGTACGTGTTGCTGTACGAGAAGCAGGTTATCGATTTCAGCATCCCTGCCACGTAGATTCGTTGCGTCCTATAAAATGTGACATGTGCGTAGTCAAATAGGAGGCAGAAAATTGTGTTAATACATAGGTGAAAAGAGGCAAAGAAGAAACGAAAGAATAAGGAGGAAAGACAGAAAACTCATGGAGATGCACGTTACGCTACAGGGTGTACTTACGAAAGGCGAAATTTGTGATATTGACGTCTGGTTTGTTTACAATAGCACCATCATCTTCTTCAAGAATGCTGCAGAACACAAAACACGTGGAAATGTTAAACGGTAGGGAAAACAAGAAACGGGGCCCGAACGATCGTTCGATTCCTCTGACTTCCTGGACATTTTGGGCAGCTATATAAAAATACTCTACAGGACTAAGCTACTGAACACTGTACAATGGGAAGATACAAAGGGGACAATCTTTTTTTTAAATTTTCTACTGTAATATCAACGTCTACTGGTAGAACGAACCGTTAAACAAACGCATATTTTATTGTTCGCTGCTGCTCTTCTTTAATCTAGCGATGCTCTATATTAATGTAACTCACTGATGCAGCTCGTATAAAACACGCTTCTTTTCAACTTCTATTTCGCGAGATGCATACATTTCATTGTGACGAATCGATACTTACGATCATAGGGGATGAAACCTTCGTCATCTTCTGGGTCCATACAATCCTTCAGTACTTCCTCTACTTCCGCGTCGGTTAATTTCTCACCTAAAAGATTATACAAAATACGCGTATAGAATCGTGCGTTAAAAGATAAATCTGAAGTTACTCTCTTTGTGTTTGTTAAAGATGTTAAGCGGCCGGAAAAGCGGTAAAATACTTTGAAACTTCTATTCGTGTTACTAACTTCCTTGATATCGTTAAAAATATACAGATTTTAAACTATTTTTATACGCCTACGAGTAATATTTTTCTCTAGTCGACGATGATGAAATATAGGATGATTATAATACCGAGCGCAAGCAGTGTGTGTGAAAGTTCAGCAGCCATCATAGTTCCATTTTCCTGTTTATCGTATAGTTTCAAACATTCGAGAAAATCTTCGTAGCATCCCTGATCCTTGTCCTTTTTACACTGGCTGTAGATCGGCAAGAATTCGTCGAGCTTCAGCAACTTCTCACCCTTCTTTTTCGTTCCTCCAAGTTTTTCTATGCTGGCGTTTGTAGGATTCAGGTTGAGGGCCCGAAGTACGTCACCAAGGTTGACTGCATCGAGAGTCATCGAGCCATCCGCATCGTAAATGGAAAAGGCAAATTCTGCCTCTGTTTGATAAAGAAAGGAAACAAAGAAAATCTTATTACGTATCGCTCATGATCGTTCTTCCGAGTGTCCATCTTAAAATTTGTTTCGATGGATTATAGGACCTTTCGATATTTAAAGAGTGATAGGTAGGTTTACTTGACAGGCGGTAGTTATTGGAAAAAAATATTTTGCTTCGTGATTAAAAAAATGTCAATGTCGATTTTAAATTAAGAACGCAGGTATATGCTAAGTGAAATCTGGGTTAATATCAGCTGAAGCGTGGCTGTTCGTGCGTACCTGGTTCAAAAATATTGTTCTATTTTGAGACTGAGCGGCTCCCACCCAGCGACCGATTCAAGAACTTACTGGTGGAAGTAGTAGTGGGTCAGATTACCCCCGCCGAGCCATATAAGAACACGGTACTAACTATTTTTGAAATGGCGCTTCCCGTTCGGGGTGATTACACCTCCGTTTTACCGAATACTAACGATTACGTAACATTTTTCACGCGGCACATCGAGTTACCGTCTTAGTACTTACATTTAGAACCGTATCGTGAATGCCAAACATAATTACGGAATAATTCAAACGAATTTTAAACGTGCCGTTTCCCTTGCAGCCATAAGTTTAACGCGCTTTAAATATAATATATATCGTGGCGAGAAATCGATCATCGCGTAACTTGTTTAACGAGGAATATCATGTTCTTCGATCTACGACAATATTTTATATTCTTGGAGATACCGCGTCATAAACACATTTTTCTTCGATCTTTAAATTACCCTTCGCAGAGAATTTCCCTCACTTTTTCCTGCGTTTCCTCACACATAAAATTACTCGCGATATTCACTAGATAGTTCACTGTTAATTTAAAATGTATCTTATAGTTGGTTGTATTTGCTATTCCTTAAAATCCTGCCTATTATTTCTATTGCACAGGTAATTTCAAACACGTACACAAAAACCAAGTATTTTCCATATGTTTTACTCACTTTCGACGTCCTTTGCACTGAGGTCTGCCTGTAATGCAAAAGAGATATCATTAAATATTCACAAGTTATCACGCAATACTATTTATTATCGTTATTATTTATAAAAATTATATCGAAATACAAAACATTTTAATGGGAAATCTATCGATATAAAATACATCGTAGCAAAGTTTCTCTTAAAGGAATTCTCAGTAACGACATAACTAAATTATTAAATAATTAAAAACATATATCCTTTAAAAGTGTCAAAAGAAACTTTAAGAATACCAAGAAAGAGTGGAAACTAAATTAAACTAAATTAAACGATGGATTTATGGATAAAATTTTCGTCGTATATCGAAAATTGGAAGAGAAAATCAAGAGCTTACCATTGTAACGTGTCTGGTACTGCTAGATGTTAATCGAACGGAGCGTGAACCAGAAGTGGTATCGGGTGTTACCAAATTTATTTATTTTATTTCTGTAGATGGCGCAGTGATCACGCGAATTACAAGGAGAACCAGCTCGAAAAGCTCGGTTCGGACGAAGAGGGTATTGGCAACGCTGCGGTCCAAAAACAGTTCGAGAGACAACGCGGTTTAGAAGCTGTGCTTCCTTGTTACGATAAATGGTTTTCGGTGATACCGTTCGTATGTCATGGCTGCCAGATCTGCAACGCAGAATACATGCGACAAACAAAAATACACGCTGGACGGCCTTCGATCTCGTATACCCATCGCGCCCTTAATATCGCCGATCTTCGCCTTTTACGTCAAGCAATCGTTCGATAAATCAAAGATACACGTGATTATCAAAAAAGTTACTGTATTGTATAAAATTTTTAAGATACATCTTTTCCTCCGCGGTGTTCCTAGGAACGCGTGGAATTTATTTCACGTCTCGTATAACTTCGTAAGAGCTTGGCGTACGTAGACTATACCGGACGCGTGGCCAGCTGATGGCTAAACTAGGGAGTTATTTTTATCAACTCGACGCGAACAACCAGCGTATTTCTCTCTTAAAAACTAGGTTTACAAGTGGATATTTAGATGTTGTACATCCGATCGTTCCATAACTCCGTCGAGGAAAGAATTTGAACGTCGAGCCGACGTTTGACTCATTTCTTCCGACGGCCAAAAATGGTTCGCAATAATTTCCGTGTTCTACTTAAAATACCCTTTCTCTTCCGTTCTTCCGATTGTGTTTCATTGTGAGTCATTTTCTTCGTTTTACTGGACGTTTTATCTTCCAACGAACGACCTTCCTCCTGATCAGATAGGGCCGAGGACGCAATTTCCTCGATTGTTACGTCCTCCAATGAGGCATTCTTCGTGAAAGGCGTTGATGATGCGACGAACGAAGATGTAATTTCTTCGTACGCAAAATCACATACGTTGCTCCTAACGTCGTTATCGGGTACATAATCGATGTTATTCTGATCAGGATCATCGATACTTTCGATGCTTCTTATAAACTGTTCTTCCGTTTCCTCCCAAACCTCGATCTTTTCTTTGCTAACAGTTTCCGATACATCTTCTTTCCTTTGCTCGGATTCTTCCATTTTCGTTTCAAGTTCCTCGATCATTTGGTAAAGTAAATTGATAGATACTCTAGTCGCTTCGTTCGAGTTTTCAAGTTCCTTCTCCAGACGAGTGCACGTTGGATCTGTTGTGGTTTCGATAACAGCATCGTGCACTATTTGATGCACATCACCCTGACCCTGAGTCGTGTGCATTTCCACAAAATTGGTCGGCTCTGCAGCGTGTGAAACATTTTCGATGTTGCGTACAACGTGTTTTACCTGTTTAATGAATTGAACGTTAGAAAGAAACACTTAGAGAATAATTATTTTCTTATCGCCAATCCCAGAATTATTCGCACTTTTCACAATGCTATTTCCATTTACCTGTTTTTCTAATTTGGATATGTGGTAGGGCACGGAAGTAGAATCTCCGATTTGTAGATTACGTAAACCAAGCACCATCTTTTCTATTAATTCTGTAGTTTCCGGTTCGTTGCGATCTACGCTCAAACGATCTTGTATTTGCAGCATTGTTCGTGTGATCTGCGATTGATTGCCAGCAGATTCTTGTTGATGATCCAACATTTGTAATTTTTCTGACAACATTATTGTTCAATAATTTCAATTTGTTAACATTAATTCCGCTAATAATGAAAATAATGAGCTACAAGTTAAACACGTTTATTCTAGCACGAAAAGGAAAGCAATTACCGAAACGTAATATGCAACATTTCGCATATCGTATCTACATATAGGATAAAATAAGATTTAATCAAATACTGCCTGTATAAGATGATAACTGCTTACGATCATTTGTATCAACCACGTCAAAAGCTTCCAACATTATCTTGTCGATTAAACTTCTTGCAAAGGCTTCGACCATAATTTGAGGCATTATCAACTCGACAGAGAACTGAAATCGTAGCTGTCGGAAATGATCGTCAGATTTTCTATACGCATGGCAAATATGTATGCACTTGAATTTTGCTAGGTGCGGTGTACGTTTATTTTTATTTTTAAAATTTACTCTATTTGTTTAGCAGTTTATTTGGTAAATCGATTAATAATAAGTTCAAACATGAATCAAGTACGAAATTTGTATAGGGTTACCGACACCCTAAAGTGAACTTATGAAATGTTTGCACGTGTTCCGGAAAATGTCAGAAGACGTTGAACGTTTACTTTCAGTTTGGCACCAAAAAAGCAAGGTGTTGCCCGCTTAATTTATAGAATGATCTTTTTTTTTATTAAGTATTTCATTAAATTAAACGTATAAATCAATATTAATAATCTATCAATAGACTTGATCTTTAAAATTTTAAAACCCTGTTTGCATTACGATAGAATTGCCGATGTAACCTCAACTTCGAACTGAATCGGATTAAAGTACTAAAAAATAAATAAACACTCGCTTATCAAACGTTTTAAAGGAAAATTCGTACATATTATCGAATCTTCGTCAAATTTGCATGCAATGAATGTCATAAAATGGATTGTATTATTAACTATAACGTAAAAGGGATATACCGATCTTTAACGAGTCAAAGTAGCGATAAGAGCACAACCCGCTAGTATCGAAAAACGAACGTGTCCATAAAAGATGGATCAAAATAAGTACATAGAAGTACGAATCTTCGAACCTGTTGCGGAAACTCCAACTTTCGACGCTGCTCACAAATATTCCATAAAAACTCTGAGCACAATTCACGAATGCGATAGTTTAAAGGTTACTCATTCGTACGTTCAAAATAATAATTCGTACATGCAAAGGAACGTTCCATATTCCACGAACTTGAAGTCAAACATCAGAAGCTTTCCATCTTCCAAACAAAGGGTAGATTCGTTTAGAAACGCGGACAGACCATTCGATATCGATTTGCTCTTAAGATATTACGCGTGTAATTCCGATATGGAGAAATCGATAAACAAAGTTTTTGGCAAAATGAATGATCAGGTTTGCAAAGACATAGATCATGTTGGCCCGTTAATCGAATTGGGTGCCATCTACAAAATTTGCAACTCGTTGGAAGAATCGTCTCCTAAAAATTCTTTATCATCCATGTCTCGATTTCGCGATATCATAGTCAAGCTACGATCTTTGATACGCCGATGTAGCAACGAAACGTTGGGAGAAATTCTGTCGAACGATCCGTCGATGAAAATCTGCGAACATTGCGGAGTGATAAGCTGCACTAAACCAGCAAATATTTCTGTCGAATCGCGAACATCACCACCTAACACCTCCTACTTTTTAAGTACGCAAATGTTTTCAGACGTAACCAGCAGTGGCGACGATGACCCGAGAACCTATCGACAAATAAGGAGAATTAATCCCAAAAAGGAACAAAGGACGAAACGCGTTGAAAAATATCGCAGTATGCAAAAGAATGAAAATCGTTCGATTTGCAAAGAGCAAGTAGATAATGGAAAAATTTATGGCTCGAGGGAGGTAAATCTAACTGTGAAACGGGAAAATAATTTCCACATAAATGCTCCTCAACGCATCGAAACTATGGTAGCTGAACGCGAACACGATAACACGATTCAAGAGACACGTTCTGTTCGTAACGCGATAAACACTAGAATATTAGAAACAAGTAAAACGGAGTTACCCGATCGCGTTAAAAATTCGCAAATGGAAAAGCCATCGGCTATCAAAAAAATCGTTAAGGCAACGAGTAGAAATCAACTACAAGCGGAAGCTAACTGTAACTTCGAGGAAAAAGATAAAATTAAAAACGATCTCACTGTCGATTTTACAAATAATTCTTTGCACGGTAGATATTTCAATCCCGTTGACTATAAAGAAAAGTCCGTACCGAGAAATAAACTGGACGATTGGCAAACGTCGAACAAAGATCAGCTAAATTTCAACGAGTGTAATGAGAAGGTTTTAAGAGACATTCTGTATGAACATCCGAAATCCCGTATTGATGACTCGGTATCGCAAAATTATACATCTTTAAATAGCAGACAAAGCACAGAGAGTAAACAGAACCAACCAAACAACGTCATGAACGACATAACTTCGTCTGCTAATGAAGTGACGTACTTGGCACGAGAGTGTCCCGAATCAATAGAGGGAAGGAAGAAAGAATTGGTTTCGCAATTAGATGAGAGAACGTACGTACATTCTAGACAACCTATCAATAGACGCAGTTTCGTTCTACACAATGCACGGAATTACGATCCGTGCTTAAATTCAGAATTTTTAATACTCGACAAATTGATGGCATCGAATATGATCGAAAGGAATAGCGAGAAAAGCCCAAGAATCTCCTGCATCGATTCTCAAAAGCATTTGAAACATCCCAAACGCGTCGATCCTATTAGAAATATGAAACAGTTTAGAAGTCTAACGTGTTTAATAGAAGATGATTCGTTAGAAAATTGTATTACAGCATCTCGTATGTTGGTACAAGCTAATGAGAGTAATACTACAGTTGTTAGTTCCTCGTCTGCCGAGAACATGATACGTGAATGGGTAAAAGTTCCCCAAAGTGCTAATTGTATTCAAGATGAAACGTATAAAAACTCGGATACTTCGAAACCTTCTACGATTGTGTTAAACGTAGAACCTCGTGCATTCTGGGCTAATGAAAAATCAATTTACTGTACAGAGACGTCTATCGATGGACAACGTAATCCAGAAGATTATAATGCGAAGAAAACGTACAAATCGTCGTCGAAGAATAAAACCAAACACCATCATTCGGATAAACGGACTATATCAAATATAATCAGTGGTAGTTTCAAGCTGTGGAATAGTAGAGACTCGATAAAAGATAAAATAAATACATCGAAACATACTGACATACACGGAAGCGAGAAACGTCTTAGGAAGCACTTATTCGATTCCTTTAAAAGTCTCAAGTCCATAAAATCCATGAAATCCAAAGAGTTACGTGGAAGTACTAAATCTTCGGGTTCTTTTGGAAATAGTTTATTTCCTAATATCCCTCCAAGTATTACCCGGCGAATCATTTACGACGAATCATCGTTAAAAAATCTGATACACGACGATAGAAGGTACGCAAACAATACGAAGGACATATTGTTGCTTTATCGGAAAGTTCTCGAAAGTACAGAAGAGATGGATTGGCAAAGTTTTCAACGATTCGTCGAAGACTTACATCCCAACAAAAAAAATCTTTGGCGCGATATTTGCAAAGTCATTAACAGTAAAGTGAAAAGAATAACCGACGAAGACGACGGCAGTGCGGAAATATGTATAGAGATCACCTCCACTCCCTTCGAAGAGGCGAAGCACGAAAGAAGAAAGTGCAGCAACGAGATCGTGTTCGAGATGGACATAACACTCGCAGACGTCGAGAGGTGTCTCAGTAGGAGGCAGCTACTATCCACGGAGAAAGAGCAGCTTGACACCCTTAAGAGAGCCAGTGAAGTTATTAAAGTTCGAAATGATGACGTTTGTGATATTGAAGTAGCCTCTAATCAAGCTGAATAAGCAGTCTTGCATGCTTTCAATTTCGCTTCTACGTAATCCGATTACCATCTCCTTCACAGTTCCCTCTCGCCATTTCTTTCGTACTTCATTTTTGTTGTTTTTTGCATACAATTTCCGTAACTCTACTTTTTATAAATTTCCGCCAAACTCTTGACATTGCTGAATAAAATTTGACATATAAGAAATTAAACGACTCGCGTGCTCTATTTTCTTAGCATTAGAGCCCCTAAAATTCGAAGAAACAGTAACGTTTCAAGATGCACAATGCTTGTAGCAGACTGGTACGAAGTTAGTTTTAGGTGTAGCGTACCGAATGAGCTAGATCGGTTGATCCCAAAGTGAAAGATTTGGTTGATGCAAGGTGGGCTAGGTGGGTAAATGGGTTGGTAGGGGAACCGTGTGGAAAGGGTGGGTCGCCCCTGGTAAAGTAGGGGTGGTCCAGCAAGCAGATTCCTGGGCTGATCGATGGAACGACCGGCGCATTGGATTTTCCAAGAGTAGCGCGCGCATTCTCATCCTTTCCAACAGCATTACATCCACCGTGTCTTTCAGTTACTCACGATCCTGCCGTGGTGGTGCATCCACCTTTCGGTGAGTGCATACCTGCTAACGAGAGAACGATGCAACTGTGTCACTAGGCCGTATGGCACGTGATCCTGTCCTTGCACGGTGCTGCTCTTCTTTATATCCGTGGCGACGTCCAATGATCGCGACGTATCGGGAATGCACTTCTTGAATTTTCGAGAAAACGTGCGTAGTGCGTGATCTACTTCTTCCACGAAATTGTTCTCGTTCTCGTTCGATTTCACCTCCCCCGTTGCTCTCGACCGCAAACGTAAGTAGGTATCTACGTAGCAACGTTCCACGTCCAAATGGATGAAAAATAGATCGTTGAGATATTCAGAGAGAAATTGATTTATGGGATGACAGGGTGAGCCTAAGTGTGTTTATCGTAACACAAAAAGACCGGCTGATGTCGCTAGGAAGTGAACGGAAGGATATTTGCTATTGTCAGGTGAGACACGTGGTGTTCAGATCCTATGATAGATTGATTACTCTGCATCGAATACCCGTTAGATTTCTTTTTCCTTCCTTTGCTTCTCTGTGTAACGTAAGTGTTCAAATGATTTTAGACGTTTTCACTGAAAACATGCATAAACGTCGGTCCGTCGATGGGAATGTACAGGAACAGGCTTTGCCCATTCCAGTTCAGATGTTCCTTTGGCGACAATTGAGGTACAATATTCTTCTACGCAAATCGATCTAATTTATCGATGATGAATTTACTTTCGTTCGAAGGAAATTAATAAATCTCAATAGCATTAACAACGATGTCCAATATTTCTTGGAAAAGATACGTAGCTAAAATGCGTTTTGACAAGTCAGAAGCTTTAACGAGCAACGCATCGTTTAAATTATTGCGTAGCACGTAAAGATTATGTAAAGACGTAGAGTATTATGCAGATCGTATATTCATATTTGTGCCAGAGTTGTTAATTTTTGTCATTCATTTGCAACGTATAGTACACTATATCATATATTTAATAAATACAATATACTATAATTTGCATATTACAGGCCGTTCATACGTGCGAAACTTGGCAAGCTTCACGAAGCATCTTGCACGGTAAAAATTCATACCTTCATTTTTATACATGTCCTTTCTATAAATGAGGTTGTTGAAGAAAGCAAACGATATAAACGGGTATATATGTGCCAGCGAATGTGTGTGTGCGCGTTTGTGTGTGCGTGCGCGCGCGCGTATGTACGTGTGCGTGTATGCATGTGTGTATAAAATGAACATTACAAAAGAATTACGATGTTTGCGAACTAATTTTAAAGCAAGAAATTCCAAGAAATTTTATACGATTCATACGATTACAATGTCTTAGGACGTGAAACACGATCTTTCTGACATATTCGTCCACAGATTCGAATGAAAGAACTTTCAAATTGTAGATATGCTTCTGCTCCATTACCAAAGGGGGAAACGAAACATTGTTTTATCCGAATTTTTGCTTTCGTGATTGTCCTCGATAAATTTGTTGTGCTTTTTGTTAGAGGTTTGCCTTATGTGTACAAAGAAGGTGAAAATTTAATAAATTTGAATTCTTTTTTCTTAATTCCAATGCAATTTTGCAAATACAAAGTTAGTATAAAGGTTAGTATGTTTCTAAAGTCGTGCAAATCAGAGTTCAGACAGTCAGAATATACGTTCTATGAGATTACCATTACAAATTTATCCCGATAATAAATATATGAATAATAATATATTCAAACGAATGAAATAGCTTTTTATATCCGACTCGTTATACAGAAATTTTTAACTTGAGATTAATAATAAAAGGAGAATTTCTTACATGAATATTCATTGTATTAATAAAACTTTTAGATTCACTGTCTTTATCATGCATCTCTTTGCAATTTGAAATATTTATAATCAAATGCAAGAATTACAGGCGAAATAAATAAACTCGTACCAACTTGCTGCAAAATATTTTAAACGGAG